CACATAAACATCGACTCGGCCAAACTACAAACACGAAAACTGACACAGCATCCAAGAACACCCCTACTACCCACACCACAACCAAACAACCAACCACACCTACAGAGCCCGTACGACGGCGTCCTCATGCCAACACCACAAGCATCAGCCACAAACACCCAAACCCAACACTACCCGCCAACATTCGCCACACCCAAACCAGTCGCCGCATCCACACCCGCACCTAAACCAAAACTCACTAAACCTACCATATCTCACCCCAACACCATACAATCTACAGCCACCAGGGCAACAACAACCACACACGAGCAAGCAACACACGAAAAACTAAACATTACTAAACCCATTGAAATACCCAGTACACCTACTCCAACACAACCAAACACCCACACAACTCCCATGGATAGTGAGGAAACCAATCTAATTAACCTAGATGACTCCCAAACCACAACTGATCAAAACATAAATGATAAAACATTTTCAGCCCCCAAAACCCTGAAAAATCGCAAACGCAAACCCCAAACTCAACCTGAACCCGAAACTTTAACCACCAAACTAAATAGCTTCACACTCCTACTAGTATACATGCTTAAAGAAATCAAACCAGACCTTAAAGCCACTAACCTACACCAGGTAGCACATAGACTAAATCTAACTACCCAAACCTACCAAGAATTCTACGATAGTTACAACCTAGCAATCGCAGGACTATAAACCAAAAACCAAACCAAAATCGTAATCTCCAAACACTAAAAGCCCACATAATGACAGGCCTAAATATCTTTCAGTGGAATGCGGCCGGGCTTAACTCCCACAGCCACGAATTAAAAGCTAGATTTAAACTAAAACAAGGACCACACATAGCGTGCATCCAGGAAACTAAATTCTCCAATAAATCCAAATTTCACCTACCAAACTACAACATAGTCAGACATGATCGACCTAAAACCAAAATAATAAGAGCATCAGGTGGCCTACTAATACTAATTAGAGAAGACATAAGCTACGAGGAAATCAAAATAAACACCCCAAACCTAGAAGCCAATGGTATCCAAATCACCCTTAAAAACCAAAAAATAAACATCATAAACATCTACCACTGGCAACAACAGAAAATCCAACCGGAGGATCTAAACATACTCACAAAGATAGGCAACAAATCTACCATCTTTCTAGGAGACTTCAACGCCCACCACCCTTCCTGGGGCACGGGAGATAAACTAGATAATCACGGCAAACTAATATCAGAATGGATAGAAACAAATAATTTAGTACTACTAAATAACAACCAACCTACCAGATACGACAAAAACAATAAAAACATGTCGGCTATCGACCTAACCATATGTACAGCAGACTTAGCGCAAAGTACCCAATGGGAAGTTCACGACGCCCCCCTAGGAAGTGATCACTTCCCCATAAACATAACCATAGGAAACACTAACGTCCCAAATCAATCCGAAAGTTCAGAACCTAAATTTAACTACAACCAGGCTAACTGGGATAAATTCCAAGACATATGCAACCAAGCTAACCTAGTAGAACTAGAAAATAGTGACCCAGAAATATATTGCCAAAACCTAACGGACTTCATAATAAACGCAGCCAAAAGCGCAATCCCCTTTAAAAAACCCAATAAATCGGGTAGGCCCTCTGTACCCTGGTGGAACGAGGAAATAGAACTAACTAGACAAAAACGTAAAACAGCCTTCAACAAAGCCAAACGCGACCATAACCACATACCAGTAGCTCACCAACTAAACCACCAGGTACAAAAACTAGTTAAAATAGCAAAAACTAGAGACTGGAAAAAATTCTGTGAGGGATTAAACAACCGTACAGACGCCAGAACGGTCTGGCGTAAAATCCACGCCGTTAGAGGCCTAAAACGTCACCAAAAGACACCTAACATAAATAACTCAACAACTCCTAGCGAAAAAGCAGACAACCTAGCAAACCACTTTTCGGCCACAAGCAGTAATAACAATTTCAGTGACAAATTCCAACTAAAACTTAAAACAGAAACCAAACCTAGCCAAGACCCAAATAATGACGCCCTAGAAATAAATCAGCCGTACACAATAGAAGAACTCAATTATGTACTCCAAAATAGGAAAAAGGGAACAGCCCCAGGACTAGACCTAACCTCCTACCAAATATTAAAAAAACTCCCCCCTAAATTACTCCAGACACTACTCAAACTATATAACCTAATCTACATAAAAGGCCATGTACCAACCCCCTGGAAAGAGGCGCTAATCATACCTATTCCCAAACCCGGTAAACCAACCAACCAAGCTAACTCTTATAGACCAATCTCTCTTACTTCCAACCTTTGCAAAGTAATGGAATCCATGGCCAAAAATAGACTTCAACACTATCTATCTCAAAATAACATAATAAACTCAGATCAAAGCGGTTTCACTCCTGGCCGCTCCACCCTAGATAACCTCGCTCGTCTCGAACAGGATATTAAAACCGGTCAACTAAACAAACAATACACAACAGGCATCTTTCTGGACTTCTCTAAAGCCTTTGATATGGTATGGCATAACGGATTAATCCAAAAACTTAAAAAAATAGGACTTAAAGGTCAAATCGTAAACTACATCCAAAGCTTCCTCCAAAACCGCAAAATTACAGTGGGTATAGACCAGGCCTTGTCAGAGCAGTGTCCCCTGGAAAACGGCACCCCTCAAGGCAGCATTCTTAGCCCCACACTTTTTAACATAATGATAAACGACCTATTTGATGGCTTATCCCCCAAAATAAACACCTCAAAATTTGCGGATGACGGAGCCCTATGGATCCGCTCCAAAAGTATCTTAACATCTCAGGACTTACTACAAAAATCCCTAAACAAAATACAAAACTGGGCAGACAAATGGGGCTTCTCCCTAAACTCCGAAAAAACGACAGGAATAGTATTCAAACACAAAAATATGAGACGGGCCTCCCCTCTCCTCAAACTAAACAATAAACCAATCATATTTCAAAAGCAAACTAAATTCCTAGGTCTAATCTTCGACGAGCATCTCTCCTGGGATGCTCACGTCCAAAACCTAACCACCAGATGTAGCAAAGATCTAAACACACTAAGATGCCTAACCGGCTCCAACTGGGGAGCCTCTAAAGATACCCTCCTCAGCCTCTACACATCCCTAATCGGATCTAAACTAGACTACGGCTGTGCCATATACGATACCCTAAACGAAACCCTAACCAAAAAACTAGATTCAATACAATATCAAGCCCTCAAACTAGTAACACGTACTCAACATGGCACCTCCCTCACATCACTTCAGGCCCTTACAGGAGAAATGCCACTAAATTTACGTAGACAACACTTAACACTAAACTTCTGGGCAGCATCTCAATCAAACCCCCTTCTCCAAAACATGCTAAACCAAAACATACGTCCCCAAAACCAGGCACTAACTAGAAAACACCCTCTACTCACCCCAATATCCCAACGAATAATAAACTACCATAACGAACACCAAATAGGAAACCAACAACAAAACTGCAAACAATCAAACGTATTCACCCCAAAACTTAAAATCCCCAAAATAGACACATCCCTAGCCAACACAATAAACAAACAAACCGACCCAAACCTAGCTAAAAGCACATCACTAGCTTACATCCATCAAAAATGGCCAAATTGGTGTCACATATACACAGACGGATCCGCTGATCCGATCACAAATCACACAGGTTTCGGAGTCCATATAGCCCAACCAGTCAAAAATACTCAATCCTTCCGACTCCCAAACAACCAATCTATATTCACCGCAGAGCTCATGGGTATCGCCACGGCGCTCCACAGCCATCACACCAAAAACCAAAAAAAAATCTTAATACTCTCAGACTCACTAAGCGGACTTCAGGCCCTCCAAAACAAAAACACCAAAAACCGCCCCAAATTAATAAACCAAATTCTCAAAAGCGTAAACAAACTAACAGAGGCAGGCAAAAACATACAACTTATCTGGATACCAGCTCACGTAGGAATTTACGGGAATGAAAACGCAGACAGAGCCGCAAAACAATCCCTAAAAATACCAGACATAAGCCTTAAGCTACCAATATCTAAAGCAGAAATCAAAAGTATAAACAAACGTAAAATCACCCAAAAATGGCATAACCTCTATCAAAACACAAAAACCCAAATCCTAAAAACCCTCAAAAAACCCCTCACCAAACCAAAAATCCTCCATCCCTCCAAAAAAATCGATAGAATAATCACCAAACTCCAAACAGGACACACCAAACTAAATAACCACCTTCAAAAACTAAAAAAACACGCAAACGGGAAGTGCCCACACTGCACTCACCCAGAAACAATAGACCACGTACTACTACATTGCACCCACTACCTCACACAACGTACAACATTACAAACCAACCTAAATCCAAATAACGCTCTTACCTTAGAAGCAATCCTTAACCCCCAAAATAAAATAGAAAACTTCAAAGCCCTAGGCATTTACCTAACCAAAACAGAACTAATTAACCGTATTTAAAACTTCACTAAACCACCAACACTAAACATCCAAAAAACATCAACTCACCCCCACACACTCCCTTAGTCCCAACCACTCCCCCAAGGCATGTATTCCAAATCTCAAAATTTCAAACTTTATATAAGCAACCACTAAACCCCCCTCCTTGGTTGCACTCCTCTCGCTACCACTTTTATACCACTAAATGGCCCGGCCGGGCCCGTGTGCGAAATACGCTCCAGTCGGAAAGCGCACGTAAAATCTCCTAATATAAGTAAGTAAGTTTATCATCATCACTTATGTGTGTTATGTGCGTGGTGGGTGTTGCTGCCACGTTATCTCTGTTATCACGAGAACCTGCACTTTATTACTGCTAATATACATATTTATTGTTTTGTTATCAGTGTTTTCAAGTTTTCTTTTGGGGTATTTGGATGGCCCTGAAAAGGGCCTTTGGACCACAGAAATGTGGAGCGAAGGCGTGACAATGAGAGCTTAAGCCTTCTTTGGCTTGACTGCCTTCTTCTTGGGGGTCTTGACCTTCTTGGGTTTGGCTGCTGCCTTCTTGGGTGTCTTCGCCTTCTTGGGCTTGGCTGCAGCCTTCACCTTCTTTGGTGACTTAGCGGCCTTCTTAGCGGCTGTTTTGGGTTTCTTGGCAGCAGCTGGCTTCTTGACTTTCTTGGGGGATTTGGCAGCCTTCTTTGGTTTGGCAGCTGCCTTAGCCTTCTTGGGTTTTTCGTCTTTCTTTGCCTCGCCAAGACGGAATGATCCAGCGGCTCCAGTTCCCTTTGATTGCTTCAGTGCGCCGTTCTTGACTCCATTTTTCAAAGCAGTCTTGATGCGAGCATTGATGGCCACCTGGTTGTCACCAACCTTGTAGTTGGCCAAGATGTATTTCAGAACAGCCTGTCGGGAAGAACCACCCCTCTCCTTCAGGGTTGAAATAGCTTTCTTGATCATCTCCAAATAGGTAGGATGTGCAGCAGCCTTCTTAGGCTTGGCAGCAGCCTTCTTCTTGGGAGTCTTGACAACAGCGGGGGCAGCAGCAGCATCAGCCATAGTGGTAAGTTTGAGTGGTAAAAATTCACGTCAGCTACGAGAGAAGCACAGAGAGCGAATGACACTTCCCCACAGACAGCCCGGCTGATACTCCGGAGGCGCGGACGTCGGAGGAGACACCCTGCTTGTTGTGGCTGATAGCTGCACGCTTACAAGCGCGTGTGCTTTTTCGTGTATTTGTATCCGAATAATCACTTCTTAATCAAGGAAAGTTTCAATTTCAACAATACAGTTAGGTAGTAAAAACATTTGGCTACACTTCGGTTACAATAGCAACGCTCACGGGTGAAGTTCAAAGCCACACGTGCTGTTTCCAATGAAGCGACCCAGTCTAAAATGTAGACATCGCTACTTTCAAAAGCACATTTTTAGCCTTGAGACTCAAGTTTTTGCATTTTAAACGTTGCTCTTAAATTCTCAATATATCTAACTATGAAAGTAAAACACAACACTCATCAGTATTGCCTATGATAAGCTAGAACAAGCGTTCAAACAACGACAATGAAGCACGTTTTTCTGACGACTTCGCCATTTTGCAACAGAAAACATTTGACACTATATTTCTGGAGACATAATTTTGGTCACTTCAATTAGAGTTGAAACTAACTTTGTCATAACAAGTAAGTAACGGGGATTTTACTTTCAGGAAAACAGTCTAGTAAGACGAGGATCTCGGGACACAAGCAGCTAGGGCGCGAAGCCCCGAACAGTAACATATATACATTGGTGTTTAGATCACTCGATCGGTCGTCACAGATTAAGTCTTTTTGCCTGTCTTAATAGCACGATATTAGTAGGGGTCTTCGTCGTTTGGATGTTAATTTTACCAGAACAATATAGGCTTCCATGCATCAACAAAAAGTGAATGTTTCAGACGAAAGGCCGGATCGAGTGAGCGAGTGTGCCGGGCCTCGTGTTAAACAGTGATCACATGTTTTTACAACGGCTAGATTTTAATCCCTGTAAATATACATCATAAATCAACAAACACAACATGTCTACTGAACCCGCTGAAAACGCGAGCATGCTGTTTTCATGGCAATGTCTGTTTACCAATGTGTGGTGTCTATATGTAGCTAAAGCTTGCCGACAAGCATTGTCTACGGCCATACCACGTTGAAAACACCGGTTCTCGTCCGATCACCGAAGTTAAGCAACGTCGGGCCCGGAGAGTACTTGGATGTGTGACCGCCTGGGAACACCGGGTGCAGTAGACATTTTTGCTGTGCGATTCCCACTTTTTTTCTTTTTCGACCATAAGGTGCACTTGCCTCATTCACATCTGATGTAATCATACACTTTTATTTCCTTGTAAATGGCCCCACTCATGCATGTCTGCTCAAAGACATAGCTGCCAGCCATGTATTCTTACATACCTTTACAGAAAGGACTTTTCCACTATACATGTGATCATATTCAGTTGTCAGTTCACCAAACTCGTCAACTATTCTGAAGGCATGTACGTCCTTTTCGCCACATAAAGGTGTTTGCGTGCACCGATAATTGACTATTTTACTTACTTTCTTACTTTCAAAGCATGAATATATAATATATACATGTAAAATTATAATGTTGTTCGTGTTAAGTCTCGGCTCACATCTCTTTGCCTACACAGATAAGAAAAGGAGAAAGAGTTAGATCGTACAGAGCGCCTGTCAATAGGAGTTCACTGGCTTGCTGCTGGAAAATGTATTTTGAAAGCTGTGAGCAAGCTGATCACTGTTGACACGCTTTAAAAATATGAAAAAAAACGACGCGACTGTGTGATAAACGTACTTTAGACTTATTGGAAAGTATTTCCATACATTTCTCTCGCCATACAACAGGTAGATGTGACATGTTGCAGGTCGGGGGCTAGGCGAAACGCACCCGACCAAGGGCGCACAACTCTTGACGCTCTATTTGAAAAGTCATGCACAGGCGAGGCGTGTGTCGGTAAAACACCCCGTGGATGTCGGGCCTTTATCGCCGTTTTACACCTTTGAACACAACGTACATGTGCAGCTACACACATAGGAAGTCTGCACTCAGGATATTATATATATCAACGACACTAATCGCCTCACTTTCCAACATACACCCATTTGGGGGGTTAATAAACAAGCATAACAACAGTCATTAGTGTGAAGACACACTACCCCCCCCCCCCACACACACAATAAAATCCCTGACATACCTTTATCATCATCACTTATGTGTGTTATGTGCGTGGTGGGTGTTGCTGCCACGTTATCTCTGTTATCACGAGAACCTGCACTTTATTACTGCTAATATACATATTTATTGTTTTGTTATCAGTGTTTTCAAGTTTTCTTTTGGGGTATTTGGATGGCCCTGAAAAGGGCCTTTGGACCACAGAAATGTGGAGCGAAGGCGTGACAATGAGAGCTTAAGCCTTCTTTGGCTTGACTGCCTTCTTCTTGGGGGTCTTGACCTTCTTGGGTTTGGCTGCTGCCTTCTTGGGTGTCTTCGCCTTCTTGGGCTTGGCTGCAGCCTTCACCTTCTTTGGTGACTTAGCGGCCTTCTTAGCGGCTGTTTTGGGTTTCTTGGCAGCAGCTGGCTTCTTGACTTTCTTGGGGGATTTGGCAGCCTTCTTTGGTTTGGCAGCTGCCTTAGCCTTCTTGGGTTTTTCGTCTTTCTTTGCCTCGCCAAGACGGAATGATCCAGCGGCTCCAGTTCCCTTTGATTGCTTCAGTGCGCCGTTCTTGACTCCATTTTTCAAAGCAGTCTTGATGCGAGCATTGATGGCCACCTGGTTGTCACCAACCTTGTAGTTGGCCAAGATGTATTTCAGAACAGCCTGTCGGGAAGAACCACCCCTCTCCTTCAGGGTTGAAATAGCTTTCTTGATCATCTCCAAATAGGTAGGATGTGCGGCAGCCTTCTTAGGCTTGGCAGCAGCCTTCTTCTTGGGAGTCTTGACAACAGCGGGGGCAGAAGCAGCATCAGCCATAGTGGTAAGTTTGAGTGGTAAAAATTCACGTCAGCTACGAGAGAAGCACAGAGAGCGAATGACACTTCCCCACAGACAGCCCGGCTGATACTCCGGAGGCGCGGACGTCGGAGGAGACACCCTGCTTGTTGTGGCTGATAGCTGCACGCTTACAAGCGCGTGTGCTTTTTCGTGTATTTGTATCCGAATAATCACTTCTTAATCAAGGAAAGTTTCAATTTCAACAATACAGTTAGGTAGTAAAAACATTTGGCTACACTTCGGTTACAATAGCATCGCTCACGGGTGAAGTTCAAAGCCACACGTGCTGTTTCCAATGAAGCGACCCAGTCTAAAATGTAGACATCGCTACTTTCAAAAGCACATTTTTAGCCTTGAGACTCAAGTTTTTGCATTTTAAACGTTGCCTGTCAATTCTCAATATATCTAACTATGAAAGTAAAACACAACACTCATCAGTATTGCCTATGATAAGCTAGAACAAGCGTTCAAACAACGACAATGAAGCACGTTTTTCTGACGACTTCGCCATTTTGCAACAGAAAACATTTGACACTATATTTCTGGAGACATAATTTTGGTCACTTCAATTAGAGTTGAAACTAACTTTGTCATAACAAGTAAGTAACGGGGATTTTACTTTCAGGAAAACAGTCTAGTAAGACGAGGATCTCGGGACACAAGCAGCTAGGGCGCGAAGCCCCGAACAGTAACATATATACATTGGTGTTTAGATCACTCGATCGGTCGTCACAGATTAAGTCTTTTTGCCTGTCTTAATAGCACGATATTAGTAGGGGTCTTCGTCGTTTGGATGTTAATTTTACCAGAACAATATAGGCTACCATGCATCAACGAAAAGTGAATGTTTCAGACGAAAGGCCGGATCGAGTGAGCGAGTGTGCCGGGCCTCGTGTTAAACAGTGATCACATGTTTTTACAACGGCTAGATTTTAATCCCTGTAAATATACATCATAAATCAACAAACACAACATGTCTACTGAACCCGCTGAAAACGCGAGCATGCTGTTTTCATGGCAATGTCTGTTTACCAATGTGTGGTGTCTATATGTAGCTAAAGCTTGCCGACAAGCATTGTCTACGGCCATACCACGTTGAAAACACCGGTTCTCGTCCGATCACCGAAGTTAAGCAACGTCGGGCCCGGAGAGTACTTGGATGTGTGACCGCCTGGGAACACCGGGTGCAGTAGACATTTTTGCTGTGCGATTCCCACTTTTTTTCTTTTTCGACCATAAGGTGCACTTGCCTCATTCACATCTGATGTAATCATACACTTTTATTTCCTTGTAAATGGCCCCACTCATGCATGTCTGCTCAAAGACATAGCTGCCAGCCATGTATTCTTACATACCTTTACAGAAAGGACTTTTCCACTATACATGTGATCATATTCAGTTGTCAGTTCACCAAACTCGTCAACTATTCTGAAGGCATGTACGTCCTTTTCGCCACATAAAGGTGTTTGCGTGCACCGATAATTGACTATTTTACTTACTTTCTTACTTTCAAAGCATGAATATATAATATATACATGTAAAATTATAATGTTGTTCGTGTTAAGTCTCGGCTCACATCTCTTTGCCTACACAGATAAGAAAAGGAGAAAGAGTTAGATCGTACAGAGCGCCTGTCAATAGGAGTTCACTGGCTTGCTGCTGGAAAATGTATTTTGAAAGCTGTGAGCAAGCTGATCACTGTTGACACGCTTTAAAAATATGAAAAAAAACGACGCGACTGTGTGATAAACGTACTTTAGACTTATTGGAAAGTATTTCCATACATTTCTCTCGCCATACAACAGGTAGATGTGACATGTTGCAGGTAGGGGGCTAGGCGAAACGCACACGACCAAGGGCGCACAACTCTTGACGCTCTATTTGAAAAGTCATGCACAGGCGAGGCGTGTGTCGTTAAAACACCCCGTGGATGTCGGGCCTTTATCGCCGTTTTACACCTTTGAACACAACGTACATGTGCAGCTACACACATAGGAAGTCTGCACTCAGGATATTATATATATCAACGACACTAATCGCCTCACTTTCCAACATACACCCATTTGGGGGGTTAATAAACAAGCATAACAACAGTCATTAGTGTGAAGACACACTACCCCCCCCCCCCCCCCCCCACACACAATAAAATCCCTGACATACCTTTATCATCATCACTTATGTGTGTTATGTGCGTGGTGGGTGTTGCTGCCACGTTATCTCTGTTATCACGAGAACCTGCACTTTATTACTGCTAATATACATATTTATTGTTTTGTTATCAGTGTTTTCAAGTTTTCTTTTGGGGTATTTGGATGGCCCTGAAAAGGGCCTTTGGACCACAGAAATGTGGAGCGAAGGCGTGACAATGAGAGCTTAAGCCTTCTTTGGCTTGACTGCCTTCTTCTTGGGGGTCTTGACCTTCTTGGGTTTGGCTGCTGCCTTCTTGGGTGTCTTCGCCTTCTTGGGCTTGGCTGCAGCCTTCACCTTCTTTGGTGACTTAGCGGCCTTCTTAGCGGCTGTTTTGGGTTTCTTGGCAGCAGCTGGCTTCTTGACTTTCTTGGGGGATTTGGCAGCCTTCTTTGGTTTGGCAGCTGCCTTAGCCTTCTTGGGTTTTTCGTCTTTCTTTGCCTCGCCAAGACGGAATGATCCAGCGGCTCCAGTTCCCTTTGATTGCTTCAGTGCGCCGTTCTTGACTCCATTTTTCAAAGCAGTCTTGATGCGAGCATTGATGGCCACCTGGTTGTCACCAACCTTGTAGTTGGCCAAGATGTATTTCAGAACAGCCTGTCGGGAAGAACCACCCCTCTCCTTCAGGGTTGAAATAGCTTTCTTGATCATCTCCAAATAGGTAGGATGTGCAGCAGCCTTCTTAGGCTTGGCAGCAGCCTTCTTCTTGGGAGTCTTGACAACAGCGGGGGCAGCAGCAGCATCAGCCATAGTGGTAAGTTTGAGTGGTAAAAATTCACGTCAGCTACGAGAGAAGCACAGAGAGCGAATGACACTTCCCCACAGACAGCCCGGCTGATACTCCGGAGGCGCGGACGTCGGAGGAGACACCCTGCTTGTTGTGGCTGATAGCTGCACGCTTACAAGCGCGTGTGCTTTTTCGTGTATTTGTATCCGAATAATCACTTCTTAATCAAGGAAAGTTTCAATTTCAACAATACAGTTAGGTAGTAAAAACATTTGGCTACACTTCGGTTACAATAGCAACGCTCACGGGTGAAGTTCAAAGCCACACGTGCTGTTTCCAATGAAGCGACCCAGTCTAAAATGTAGACATCGCTACTTTCAAAAGCACATTTTTAGCCTTGAGACTCAAGTTTTTGCATTTTAAACGTTGCCTGTCAATTCTCAATATATCTAACTATGAAAGTAAAACACAACACTCATCAGTATTGCCTATGATAAGCTAGAACAAGCGTTCAAACAACGACAATGAAGCACGTTTTTCTGACGACTTCGCCATTTTGCAACAGAAAACATTTGACACTATATTTCTGGAGACATAATTTTGGTCACTTCAATTAGAGTTGAAACTAACTTTGTCATAACAAGTAAGTAACGGGGATTTTACTTTCAGGAAAACAGTCTAGTAAGACGAGGATCTCGGGACACAAGCAGCTAGGGCGCGAAGCCCCGAACAGTAACATATATACATTGGTGTTTAGATCACTCGATCGGTCGTCACAGATTAAGTCTTTTTGCCTGTCTTAATAGCACGATATTAGTAGGGGTCTTCGTCGTTTGGATGTTAATTTTACCAGAACAATATAGGCTACCATGCATCAACGAAAAGTGAATGTTTCAGACGAAAGGCCGGATCGATTGAGCGAGTGTGCCGGGCCTCGTGTTAAACAGTGATCACATGTTTTTACAACGGCTAGATTTTAATCCCTGTAAATATACATCATAAATCAACAAACACAACATGTCTACTGAACCCGCTGAAAACGCGAGCATGCTGTTTTCATGGCAATGTCTGTTTACCAATGTGTGGTGTCTATATGTAGCTAAATTTTGCCGACAAGCATTGTCTACGGCCATACCACGTTGAAAACACCGGTTCTCGTCCGATCACCGAAGTTAAGCAACGTCGGGCCCGGAGAGTACTTGGATGGGTGACCGCCTGGGAACACCGGGTGCAGTAGACATTTTTGCTGTGCGATTCCCACTTTTTTTCTTTTTCGACCATAAGGTGCACTTGCCACATTCACATCTGATGTAATCATACACTTTTATTTCCTTGTAAATGGCCCCACTCATGCATGTCTGCTCAAAGACATAGCTGCCAGCCATGTATTCTTACATACCTTTACAGAAAGGACTTTTCCACTATACATGTGATCATATTCAGTTGTCAGTTCACCAAACTCGTCAACTATTCTGAAGGCATGTACGTCCTTTTCGCCACATAAAGGTGTTTGCGTGCACCGATAATTGACTATTTTACTTACTTTCTTACTTTCAAAGCATGAATATATAATATATACATGTAAAATTATAATGTTGTTCGTGTTAAGTCTCGGCTCACATCTCTTTGCCTACACAGATAAGAAAAGGAGAAAGAGTTAGATCGTACAGAGCGCCTGTCAATAGGAGTTCACTGGCTTGCTGCTGGAAAATGTATTTTGAAAGCTGTGAGCAAGCTGATCACTGTTGACACGCTTTACAAATATGAAAAAAAAACGACGCGACTGTGTGATAAACCAGCTATTTTATGTTCCCCGTTCTAGCTGATCGCTTGCAAACGTACTTTAGACTTATTAGAAAGTATTTCCATACATTTCTCTCGCCATACAACAGGTAGATGTGACATGTTGCAGGTAGGGGGCTAGGCGAAACGCACCCGACCAAGGGCGCACAACTCTTGACGCTCTATTTGAAAAGTCATGCACAGGCGAGGCGTGTGTCGGTAAAACACCCCGTGGATGTCGGGCCTTTATCGCCGTTTTACACCTTTGAACACAACGTACATGTGCAGCTACACACATAGGAAGTCTGCACTCAGGATATTATATATATCAACGACACTAATCGCCTCACTTTCCAACATACACCCATTTGGGGGGTTAATAAACAAGCATAACAACAGTCATTAGTGTGAAGACACACTACCCCCCCCCCCCCCACACACACAATAAAATCCCTGACATACCTTTATCATCATCACTTATGTGTGTTATGTGCGTGGTGGGTGTTGCTGCCACGTTATCTCTGTTATCACGAGAACCTGCACTTTATTACTGCTAATATACATATTTATTGTTTTGTTATCAGTGTTTTCAAGTTTTCTTTTGGGGTATTTGGATGGCCCTGAAAAGGGCCTTTGGACCACAGAAATGTGGAGCGAAGGCGTGACAATGAGAGCTTAAGCCTTCTTTGGCTTGACTGCCTTCTTCTTGGGGGTCTTGACCTTCTTGGGTTTGGCTGCTGCCTTCTTGGGTGTCTTCGCCTTCTTGGGCTTGGCTGCAGCCTTCACCTTCTTTGGTGACTTAGCGGCCTTCTTAGCGGCTGTTTTGGGTTTCTTGGCAGCAGCTGGCTTCTTGACTTTCTTGGGGGATTTGGCAGCCTTCTTTGGTTTGGCAGCTGCCTTAGCCTTCTTGGGTTTTTCGTCTTTCTTTGCCTCGCCAAGACGGAATGATCCAGCGGCTCCAGTTCCCTTTGATTGCTTCAGTGCGCCGTTCTTGACTCCATTTTTCAAAGCAGTCTTGATGCGAGCATTGATGGCCACCTGGTTGTCACCAACCTTGTGGTTGGCCAAGATGTATTTCAGAACAGCCTGTCGGGAAGAACCACCCCTCTCCTTCAGGGTTGAAATAGCTTTCTTGATCATCTCCAAATAGGTAGGATGTGCGGCAGCCTTCTTAGGCTTGGCAGCAGCCTTCTTCTTGGGAGTCTTGACAACAGCGGGGGCAGAAGCAGCATCAGCCATAGTGGTAAGTTTGAGTGGTAAAAATTCACGTCAGCTACGAGAGAAGCACAGAGAGCGAATGACACTTCCCCACAGACAGCCCGGCTGATACTCCGGAGGCGCGGACGTCGGAGGAGACACCCTGCTTGTTGTGGCTGATAGCTGCACGCTTACAAGCGCGTGTGCTTTTTCGTGTATTTGTATCCGAATAATCACTTCTTAATCAAGGAAAGTTTCAATTTCAACAATACAGTTAGGTAGTAAAAACATTTGGCTACACTTCGGTTACAATAGCAACGCTCAGGGGTGAAGTTCAAAGCCACACGTGCTGTTTCCAATGAAGCGACCCAGTCTAAAATGTAGACATCGCTACTTTCAAAAGCACATTTTTAGCCTTGAGACTCAAGTTTTTGCATTTTAAACGTTGCCTGTCAATTCTCAATATATCTAACTATGAAAGTAAAACACAACACTCATCAGTATTGCCTATGATAAGCTAGAACAAGCGTTCAAACAACGACAATGAAGCACGTTTTTCTGACGACTTCGCCATTTTGCAACAGAAAACATTTGACACTATATTTCTGGAGACATAATTTTGGTCACTTCAATTAGAGTTGAAACTAACTTTGTCATAACAAGTAAGTAACGGGGATTTTACTTTCAGGAAAACAGTCTAGTAAGACGAGGATCTCGGGACACAAGCAGCTAGGGCGCGAAGCCCCGAACAGTAACATATATACATTGGTGTTTAGATCACTCGATCGGTCGTCACAGATTAAGTCTTTTTGCCTGTCTTAATAGCACGATATTAGTAGGGGTCTTCGTCGTTTGGATGTTAATTTTACCAGAACAATATAGGCTACCATGCATCAACGAAAAGTGAATGTTTCAGACGAAAGGCCGGATCGAGTGAGCGAGTGTGCCGGGCCTCGTGTTAAACAGTGATCACATGTTTTTACAACGGCTAGATTTTAATCCCTGTAAATATACATCATAAATCAACAAACACAACATGTCTACTGAACCCGCTGAAAACGCGAGCATGCTGTTTTCATGGCAATGTCTGTTTACCAATGTGTGGTGTCTATATGTAGCTAAAGCTTGCCGACAAGCATTGTCTACGGCCATACCACGTTGAAAACACCGGTTCTCGTCCGATCACCGAAGTTAAGCAACGTCGGGCCCGGAGAGTACTTGGATGTGTGACCGCCTGGGAACACCGGGTGCAGTAGACATTTTTGCTGTGCGATTCCCACTTTTTTTCTTTTTCGACCATAAGGTGCACTTGCCTCATTCACATCTGATGTAATCATACACTTTTATTTCCTTGTAAATGGCCCCACTCATGCATGTCTGCTCAAAGACATAGCTGCCAGCCATGTATTCTTACATACCTTTACAGAAAGGACTTTTCCACTATACATGTGATCATATTCAGTTGTCAGTTCACCAAACTCGTCAACTATTCTGAAGGCATGTACGTCCTTTTCGCCACATAAAGGTGTTTGCGTGCACCGATAATTGACTATTTTACTTACTTTCTTACTTTCAAAGCATGAATATATAATATATACATGTAAAATTATAATGTTGTTCGTGTTAAGTCTCGGCTCACATCTCTTTGCCTACACAGATAAGAAAAGGAGAAAGAGTTAGATCGTACAGAGCGCCTGTCAATAGGAGTTCACTGGCTTGCTGCTGGAAAATGTATTTTGAAAGCTGTGAGCAAGCTGATCACTGTTGACACGCTTTAAAAATATGAAAAAAAACGACGCGACTGTGTGATAAACGTACTTTAGACTTATTGGAAAGTATTTCCATACATTTCTCTCGCCATACAACAGGTAGATGTGACATGTTGCAGGTAGGGGGCTAGGCGAAACGCACACGACCAAGGGCGCACAACTCTTGACGCTCTATTTGAAAAGTCATGCACAGGCGAGGCGTGTGTCGTTAAAACACCCCGTGGATGTCGGGCCTTTATCGCCGTTTTACACCTTTGAACACAACGTACATGTGCAGCTACACACATAGGAAGTCTGCACTCAGGATATTATATATATCAACGACACTAATCGCCTCACTTTCCAACATACACCCATTTGGGGGGTTAATAAACAAGCATAACAACAGTCATTAGTGTGAAGACACACTACCCCCCCCCCCCACACACAATAAAATCCCTGACATACCTTTATCATCATCACTTATGTGCGTTATGTGCGTGGTGGGTGTTGCTGCCACGTTATCTCTGTTATCACGAGAACCTGCACTTTATTACTGCTAATATACATATTTATTGTTTTGTTATCAGTGTTTTCAAGTTTTCTTTTGGGGTATTTGGATGGCCCTGAAAAGGGCCTTTGGACCACAGAAATGTGGAGCGAAGGCGTGACAATGAGAGCTTAAGCCTTCTTTGGCTTGACTGCCTTCTTCTTGGGGGTCTTGACCTTCTTGGGTTTGGCTGCTGCCTTCTTGGGTGTCTTCGCCTTCTTGGGCTTGGCTGCAGCCTTCACCTTCTTTGGTGACTTAGCGGCCTTCTTAGCGGCTGTTTTGGGTTTCTTGGCAGCAGCTGGCTTCTTGACTTTCTTGGGGGATTTGGCAGCCTTCTTTGGTTTGGCAGCTGCCTTAGCCTTCTTGGGTTTTTCGTCTTTCTTTGCCTCGCCAAGACGGAATGATCCAGCGGCTCCAGTTCCCTTTGATTGCTTCAGTGCGCCGTTCTTGACTCCATTTTTCAAAGCAGTCTTGATGCGAGCATTGATGGCCACCTGGTTGTCACCAACCTTGTAGTTGGCCAAGATGTATTTCAGAACAGCCTGTCGGGAAGAACCACCCCTCTCCTTCAGGGTTGAAATAGCTTTCTTGATCATCTCCAAATAGGTAGGATGTGCAGCAGCCTTCTTAGGCTTGGCAGCAGCCTTCTTCTTGGGAGTCTTGACAACAGCGGGGGCAGCAGCAGCATCAGCCATAGTGGTAAGTTTGAGTGGTAAAAATTCACGTCAGCTACGAGAGAAGCACAGAGAGCGAATGACACTTCCCCACAGACAGCCCGGCTGATACTCCGGAGGCGCGGACGTCGGAGGAGACACCCTGCTTGTTGTGGCTGATAGCTGCACGCTTACAAGCGCGTGTGCTTTTTCGTGTATTTGTATCCGAATAATCACTTCTTAATCAAGGAAAGTTTCAATTTCAACAATACAGTTAGGTAGTAAAAACATTTGGCTACACTTCGGTTACAATAGCAACGCTCACGGGTGAAGTTCAAAGCCACACGTGCTGTTTCCAATGAAGCGACCCAGTCTAAAATGTAGACATCGCTACTTTCAAAAGCACATTTTTAGCCTTGAGACTCAAGTTTTTGCATTTTAAACGTTGCCTGTCAATTCTCAATATATCTAACTATGAAAGTAAAACACAACACTCATCAGTATTGCCTATGATAAGCTAGAACAAGCGTTCAAACAACGACAATGAAGCACGTTTTTCTGACGACTTCGCCATTTTGCAACAGAAAACATTTGACACTATATTTCTGGAGACATAATTTTGGTCACTTCAATTAGAGTTGAAACTAACTTTGTCATAACAAGTAAGTAACGGGGATTTTACTTTCAGGAAAACAGTCTAGTAAGACGAGGATCTCGGGACACAAGCAGCTAGGGCGCGAAGCCCCGAACAGTAACATATATACATTGGTGTTTAGATCACTCGATCGGTCGTCACAGATTAAGTCTTTTTGCCTGTCTTAATAGCACGATATTAGTAGGGGTCTTCGTCGTTTGGATGTTAATTTTACCAGAACAATATAGGCTACCATGCATCAACGAAAAGTGAATGTTTCAGACGAAAGGCCGGATCGATTGAGCGAGTGTGCCGGGCCTCGTGTTAAACAGTGATCACATGTTTTTACAACGGCTAGATTTTAATCCCTGTAAATATACATCATAAATCAACAAACACAACATGTCTACTGAACCCGCTGAAAACGCGAGCATGCTGTTTTCATGGCAATGTCTGTTTACCAATGTGTGGTGTCTATATGTAGCTAAATTTTGCCGACAAGCATTGTCTACGGCCATACCACGTTGAAAACACCGGTTCTCGTCCGATCACCGAAGTTAAGCAACGTCGGGCCCGGAGAGTACTTGGATGGGTGACCGCCTGGGAACACCGGGTGCAGTAGACATTTTTGCTGTGCGATTCCCACTTTTTTTCTTTTTCGACCATAAGGTGCACTTGCCACATTCACATTTGATGTAATCATACACTTTTATTTCCTTGTAAATGGCCCCACTCATGCATGTCTGCTCAAAGACATAGCTGCCAGCCATGTATTCTTACATACCTTTACAGAAAGGACTTTTCCACTATACATGTGATCATATTCAGTTGTCAGTTCACCAAACTCGTCAACTATTCTGAAGGCATGTACGTCCTTTTCGCCACATAAAGGTGTTTGCGTGCACCGATAATTGACTATTTTACTTACTTTCTTACTTTCAAAGCATGAATATATAATATATACATGTAAAATTATAATGTTGTTCGTGTTAAGTCTCGGCTCACATCTCTTTGCCTACACAGATAAGAAAAGGAGAAAGAGTTAGATCGTACAGAGCGCCTGTCAATAGGAGTTCACTGGCTTGCTGCTGGAAAATGTATTTTGAAAGCTGTGAGCAAGCTGATCACTGTTGACACGCTTTACAAATATGAAAAAAAAACGACGCGACTGTGTGATAAACCAGCTATTTTATGTTCCCCGTTCTAGCTGATCGCTTGCAAACGTACTTTAGACTTATTAGAAAGTATTTCCATACATTTCTCTCGCCATACAACAGGTAGATGTGACATGTTGCAGGTAGGGGGCTAGGCGAAACGCACACGACCAAGGGCGCACAACTCTTGACGCTCTATTTGAAAGGTCGTGCACAGGCGAGGCGTGTGTCGGTAAAACACCCCGTGGATGTCTGGCCTTTATCGCCGTTTTACACCTTTGAACACAACGTGCATGTGCAGCTACACACATAGGAAGTCTGCACTCAGGATATTATATATATCAACGACACTAATCGCCTCACTTTCCAACATACACTCATTTGGTGGGTTAATAAACAAGCATAACAACAGTCATTAGTGTGAAGACACACTACCCCCCCCACACACACAATAAAATCCCTGACATACCTTTATCATCATCACCTATGTGTGTTATGTGCGTGGTGGGTGTTGCTGCCACGTTATCTCTGTTATCACGAGAACCTGCACTTTATTACTGCTAATATACATATTTATTGTTTTGTTATCAGTGTTTTCAAGTTTTCTTTTGGGGTATTTGGATGGCCCTGAAAAGGGCCTTTGGACCACAGAAATGTGGAGCGAAGGCGTGACAATGAGAGCTTAAGCCTTCTTTGGCTTGACTGCCTTCTTCTTGGGGGTCTTGACCTTCTTGGGTTTGGCTGCTGCCTTCTTGGGTGTCTTCGCCTTCTTGGGCTTGGCTGCAGCCTTCACCTTCTTTGGTGACTTAGCGGCCTTCTTAGCGGCTGTTTTGGGTTTCTTGGCAGCAGCTGGCTTCTTGACTTTCTTGGGGGATTTGGCAGCCTTCTTTGGTTTGGCAGCTGCCTTAGCCTTCTTGGGTTTTTCGTCTTTCTTTGCCTCGCCAAGACGGAATGATCCAGCGGCTCCAGTTCCCTTTGATTGCTTCAGTGCGCCGTTCTTGACTCCATTTTTCAAAGCAGTCTTGATGCGAGCATTGATGGCCACCTGGTTGTCACCAACCTTGTAGTTGGCCAAGATGTATTTCAGAACAGCCTGTCGGGAAGAACCACTCCTCTCCTTCAGGGTTGAAATAGCTTTCTTGATCATCTCCAAATAGGTAGGATGTGCGGCAGCCTTCTTAGGCTTGGCAGCAGCCTTCTTCTTGGGAGTCTTGACAACAGCGGGGGCAGCAGCAGCATCAGCCATAGTGGTAAGTTTAAGTGGTAAGAATTCACGTCAGCTACGAGAGAAGCACAGAGAGCGAATGACACTTCCCCACAGACAGCCCGGCTGATACTCCGGAGGCGCGGACGTCGGAGGAGACACCCTGCTTGTTGTGGCTGATAGCTGCACGCTTACAAGCGCGTGTGCTTTTTCGTGTATTTGTATCCGAATAATCACTTCTTAATCAAGGAAAGTTTCAATTTCAACAATACAGTTAGGTAGTAAAAACATTTGGCTACACTTCGGTTACAATAGCAACGCTCACGGGTGAAGTTCAAAGCCACACGTGCTGTTTCCAATGAAGCGACCCAGTCTAAAATGTAGACATCGCTACTTTCAAAAGCACATTTTTAGCCTTGAGACTCAAGTTTTTGCATTTTAAACGTTGCCTGTCAATTCTCAATATATCTAACTATGAAAGTAAAACACAACACTCATCAGTATTGCCTATGATAAGCTAGAACAAGCGTTCAAACAACGACAATGAAGCACGTTTTTCTGACGACTTCGCCATTTTGCAACAGAAAACATTTGACACTATATTTCTGGAGACATAATTTTGGTCACTTCAATTAGAGTTGAAACTAACTTTGTCATAACAAGTAAGTAACGGGGATTTTACTTTCAGGAAAACAGTCTAGTAAGACGAGGATCTCGGGACACAAGCAGCTAGGGCGCGAAGCCCCGAACAGTAACATATATACATTGGTGTTTAGATCACTCGATCGGTCGTCACAGATTAAGTCTTTTTGCCTGTCTTAATAGCACGATATTAGTAGGGGTCTTCGTCGTTTGGATGTTAATTTTACCAGAACAATATAGGCTACCATGCATCAACGAAAAGTGAATGTTTCAGACGAAAGGCCGGATCGAGTGAGCGAGTGTGCCGGGCCTCGTGTTAAACAGTGATCACATGTTTTTACAACGGCTAGATTTTAATCCCTGTAAATATACATCATAAATCAACAAACACAACATGTCTACTGAACCCGCTGAAAACGCGAGCATGCTGTTTTCATGGCAATGTCTGTTTACCAATGTGTGGTGTCTATATGTAGCTAAAGTTTGCCGACAAGCATTGTCTACGGCCATACCACGTTGAAAACACCAGTTCTCGTCCGATCACCGAAGTTAAAGCCCCACCCTGACTATAAATAGCCCGCAAGGTGGCGGTGTTTCAGTTTCGAACAATGACTGACAATGTAAACACAACCGAGTGTCGGGAGAGGTTTTTTGAAAACTATACGGGAACCAGATCACCATTGACCTTCAAACTTCGTATCAACTTGTATGACAAACCATGGATACAATAAATGGCTCCATATCAAGATATAAGTCAATAAATTTTCTGTAGTTTTATCATAAAAAATCGAATCGATCGTGTTTGGCGTCTGCATCAATCACAGTGGGCGGAGCTTATTTACGGTTGCGCTATAAATAGCAAAGCACATGGCCAAATGTACATGTGACACATTCAATGCATTTGTGGTCAAAGTGAATTGTGTTGCATATTTTTTACGGCAGAACAGCAGCAGAACATCAGTTTCGGTTAATGTAACAGTAACGATACTTAAATACGAAATTGACGACGCGATTCTTTCAGTTCAATCCGAAAATTACAGATATTTGTTTAGTTTTGGTCATTTGCATTCAACAGTTAGATTTGTGCCACACAATAATCAGTTTATATTCATAAAACTTAAATTATTACACAGATTTTCAACTAGTGTTTAGGAAGGGGCCTAATTTGAAGCACCAGAAGTTCCGCCAATATTTCTCAGCTTGACTACAATAGATGAATATGTCACGTGTATCAACATAACAATGCACATAAGCAACTGGTAAATAAGTAACGAAATATACTTGATGTTTTGACCTACAGAAGGCGTATCCAGATAATATTGTACTTACGATAAACGAAAACTCCAATACATATATTCCAAGACAACTTTAATTATGAATTTCCTTTTCTTTCACAGAATTTTCACACACAAAACTGAGTTTGATCATTAGATCCACACTTGTCCCATGTATGTTTGTTCGGGGTATTTGGATATACTTCGCGCACAAGTTTTGAAATACAATCTGGGATCCCTTTCCCGTTTTGTCCACACAAATCCTTCATCTGCTGCAACGTTTAATTACGTTTCTTCAAGTCGAAGTATCTACGATCTCTCCAAACACTTCGTTTATTTAGCTCAGTCCAGAAGCAATGTGTTCAAATCGACGAATTTCTGCAACATGGTGGCCGCACCATTCCCCAACTGCGATTGCCTGTGCCGTGTCACCCATGGTTGACAAAAGAAGTGTGAACATACATATTCGGCTTCATCTGGTTCCACAATGAAATCTCGCTGTCACATTGATTCACTAATCCCAAGAATCGGCACTGAATTTATCAAAGTTTCTGTTGCACTTGCAAGGGCGGGAAGAGAGGCGCCATCTTGTCGATTCGAGTTGTGAATCGGAATCATGTCATCTTGAATTGGAACTTTCTCCACGATAAAGTCACCAATGTCATAATCGAAATGACCAAAGGCTCCCTGATTATCTCGAACAACTCTTCGTCAAATTAGGCTTCACATGAAAATGTTTTGTTGCTCATATTGAAGACAAGCGAAATTGCAAAGTTCTTGACAGTTGTAAGCAGCAACTCGATGCCCTCTTGGGGCGTGGTTGCTAGGAGATCGCGTGGTCAGAAAGGGGAAAACAACTTTTTTTAGAAAGTAATAAAAGAAATACGCAGTGCAATCCAAAGGTACCATGTACAGGATATTTTTTAATAATAATATTCACGAAAAAAAATCTTTTCTAAAAATGCAAATTAATTTATTAATTTATCCCAAGGTTGTAACCCTGATCACGTGGTGGGTATTTGGAATTTTTGCGATGACGCCGTGTATTACATTGTTGAATTCAACTGCCCAGGAAGATTGTTGAGGCATTGACATTTTGACAGATGTTCGTCATGAATGGAGAGAAAAATGTATCTGAGAGAAACATTGTTGCTTTGAGCTTCGAGACAAAACATGTGTTAATGCCGAAGTAGCCAGCGACCTGAATGTAAGCTTGATGAAAATAATGTTGAAACCCATTTTCACATGACAGAATTAATGTGAACTAATATTTATCTGAACATCGTTTCGAAGTCTGTGAGGCTGTCCGTATTTTATTATTTATATCTCCAATAATGTCTTCGTGTCTCAATTTTGCTGCCGCTGTGGAAAATTGCGCACCGATGTAATAAAAGAAATACTACTAGATCTACCATTGCATCGTCATAAAAGAACCAGGTCAACTTTATCTTTGTTCCGTTGTTTATTAAAAATTCGTTTTCGAAGCAAAGCGAATCGATCTACATCATAAATTAATTCATAGACTAGATTCTAGTACCAAGTGTTAAACCCTTTTTTAAATGTCATAAAACAACTTACACAATTATTGAAAGAGATTTTTTTATAAGTAATATATTTTATTCCGTCCGCCCGCTCCCTGGTTAGTTCAGGCTTGAGGGGAGAAACACATACAAACAATATGGATGGCCTTATGCAAATGACACTTGGCATGCCAATCAACAGGGATGTGGGTCACTGGGACCCGCCAAGTTTCACGGATCGAGTTACTTCAGGATAAGGGCTTCATCGGACAAGTCTTTGCCAAAATACATTGGTAGATCTACTTGGCAATGAAAAAATGTCACGGAAACGACAAAAAACTACTTTGATCACTTGAAAATATGTTTGACCATTATATTACCAGGGTTTTTCTACAGGATCGTTGTCATCCAGATTCCAGATGAGGCAAGACGAACACAACGAAGAAAAACATTGTTGAAATCACCGATTGCCGTATATATTGTGAGAAATGCTTCTTCCTGCTTGTGCGATTCCCACTTTTTTTCTTTTTCGACCATAAGGTGCACTTGCCACATTCACATCTGATGTAATCATACACTTTTATTTCCTTGTAAATGGCCCCACTCATGCATGTCTGCTCAAAGACATAGCTGCCAGCCATGTATTCTTACATACCTTTACAGAAAGGACTTTTCCACTATACATGTGATCATATTCAGTTGTCAGTTCACCCAACTCGTCAACTATTCTGAAGGCATGTACGTCCTTTTCGCCACATAAAGGTGTTTGCGTGCACCGATAATTGACTATTTTACTTACTTTCTTACTTTCAAAGCATGAATATATAATATATACATGTAAAATTATAATGTTGTTCGTGTTAAGTCTCGGCTCACATCTCTTTGCCTACACAGATAAGAAAAGGAGAAAGAGTTAGATCGTACAGAGCGCCTGTCAATAGGAGTTCACTTGCTTGCTGCTGGAAAATGTATTTTGAAAGCTGTGAGCAAGCTGATCACTGTTGACACGCTTTAAAAATATGAAAAAAAAACGACGCGACTGTGTGATAAACCAGCTATTTTATGTTCCCCGTTCTAGCTGATCGCTGGCAAACGTACTTTAGACTTATTAGAAAGTATTTCCATACATTTCTCTCGCCATACAACAGGTAGATGTGACATGTTGCAGGTAGGGGGCTAGGCGAAACGCACACGACCAAGGGCGCACAACTCTTGACGCTCTATTTGAAAGGTCGTGCACAGGCGAGGCGTGTGTCGGTAAAACACCCCGTGGATGTCGGGCCTTTATCGCCGTTTTACACCTTTGAACACAACGTGCATGTGCAGCTACACACATAGGAAGTCTGCACTCAGGATATTATATATATCAACGACACTAATCGCCTCACTTTCCAACATACACCCATTTGGGGGGTTAATAAACAAGCATAACAACAGTCATTAGTGTGAAGACACACTACCCCACCCCCCCCACCCCCACCCACCCCCCCCCCCCCACACCCCACACACACAATAAAATCCCTGACATACCTTTATCATCATCACCTATGTGTGTTATGTGCGTGGTGGGTGTTGCTGCCACGTTATCTCTGTTATCACGAGAACC